GCTGCCTGGGCTCGGGCACGCGTGCCCCCCGGGCTGCGCCTGCACCGACCCGCACACGGTGGACTGCCGCGATCGCGGGCTACCCAGCGTGCCGGACCCCTTCCCTCTGGACGTACGCAAGTTGCTGGTGGCTGGCAACCGCATCCAGGAGATCCCCGAAGACTTTTTCATCTTCTACGGCGACCTGGTCTACCTGGACTTCAGGAACAACTCGCTTCGCTCGCTGGAGGAGGGCACGTTCAGCGGCTCCGCCAAGCTGGCCTTCCTTGACCTCAGCTACAACAACCTGACCCAGCTGGGCGCCGGTGCCTTCCGCTCAGCCGGTAGGCTGGTCAAGCTGAGCCTGGCCAACAATCACCTGGCCGGTGTGCACGAGGCCGCCTTTGAGACCCTGGAGTCCCTGCAAGTGCTAGAGCTCAACGACAACAACCTACGCAGCCTCAGTGTGGCCGCCCTGGCCGCTCTGCCTGCGCTCCGCACCCTGCGCCTGGATGGGAACCCGTGGCTCTGTGACTGCAACTTTGCCCTTCTCTTCTCCTGGATCCAAGAGAACGCCTCCAAACTGCCTAAAGGTGAGCCAGGCTGCCTAGGGGGAGTGTTTTGGGCATGAGGATGGAGGAGCCTTTGCTGGCTTTGATCGGGTCAGGGACTTGGGTGCTGAGCAGCTGCACTGAATAAGAGTTCTCTGGAGGGGCCCTCCCTGATTCCAAGCTTGAATTTTCCTCGGTATCTTCTGCAGGAGAAGGGATACACCTGGAATTCTCCTGTATCCTCCAACTCACTTTCAGAAGTTAAGGACCCTCCAGCACTCAGTCTTCATTCACAGAGATCATCTCATTGGCCGTAGGACTGGGGAACACAGGTCTTTTATGGATGGCCCCCCAGCATGTGGTGTTTCCCACATTCTGAGCGACATCCTCAGTACCTTGAGCTCAAAGAGCACAGCTTGGAGCCTGGACTGGTCTCTCACCTTCTTAGCTCCCTGTGACTCTTCTTCTAATGGGGCTGAGGAGTCTTTCTGGTGAGGAATAATGACAGCTACCAAGATCCAGGGGTGCTGGAAAGATTTATAGTTCTGTGGTTTTGCAGCCCAGGTGTGAAATATCTGCACACAGATGTTGTGGCTAGTGTACCCTTTGCTTCTGTTCATTTAGTATGGAGGGGCCAGACAGGGTGCTATCGACATGCATAGTCACTGGGCAGACAGGAATACAAGGATGCAGGGAGTTAACAGGGCCTGATGAGGAGCAGGGAAAGAAAGCAAAGGCACAGCTGAGGGGAAGGGAGAGACTCTACAGGCGTGAGAGCCAGGGCTGGGAGCAGAGGGAACGTCCTCCCGCTCAGTGGACTCCAGCCTTCCATCTCAGACACTCCATGTACCTTGCCCTCGAGGGTTTGGGGGTAATAAATAAGCTGTGGGCGCACATGATAAAAGGCAAGATAAATGAGGGTTTAGTTTTGGGATATCTTTTTTCCATCGACTAAGAAATTTTCCATTTGCTCACCTATGGCCTGAATTCACTTATTCATCCAATACTATTACTAAGCACATACCCCATACTTCAGGGCAATTACTCCTCTGCAGACCCAAGCCCCTGAGCTGACACTTTCAGCCTGGCCTGGCTCTATCACATGGGCAGTTCCCCAAAAGATCTGACCCTTAAGGTGCAGAGAGTGCTCCAACTCTACACTTTGTCCTCATTTACCTGCCCAACTCCCCAGACTCTCCCATCAGGGAGACTGTGACCTCAAGACGAACGTTGGGATTAAGGCCTCATTGTGGAATGAAGTATGTCTAGGTTTGATTGACTTCTTTTTTTTTTTTTTTTTTGTAGGATTGGTATAATTGGCTCCTGGCTGAAGGCAAAGGTGTTGGGGAGTCAAGAGCTGTGGGTTTCGATTGTATTTCTGCCATAGATGGCTGTGACCTTGAGTGGGCCACTCCCCCTGGCTGGGTCTCTGTTTCCTTGTCTCTTAGGGGCTGTAGTTGGCCTCTGAGATCTCTAAAGAGCCCTGGATTTGGAGTCTGAAGACATGGGTTCGAGTCCTGGCTGGGTGACTCTGGGTCTATCACTTATCTTTTGGAGCCTCATTTTCCAGCTCTGTGAAATTGGGACATAAGTACTCTCACACAGTTCATCCCACCTGGTGGTTGTCAGGATTAAAATGAGATGATGTAGGTGAAAGTAAGACTAGTAGCCATTGAGTCAATTCCAACTCATGGTGACCCCACAAATGCAGATACAACAGCTCCATGGAGTTTTCAAGGGTGTGACCTTTCACAATCTGATCACCAGGCCTGGCTTCCAAGGTGGCTCTGGTGGGTTCAAACTATCAGCAGTTAGGTTAGTAGTTGAGCACTTAGCCATTTGTGCCACTCAGGGACTTCTGGGTAAAACTACAGGACAGTACAAATAGGAAGCATTATTCCTCCTACCCTCTGTAATACAGGGAAGGAAAAGGACACCAGAGGGGGCGTGTGGCTAGGGAGAAGGATGGACAGATTCAGAGCAAGGAACAGTGCCAGGGCCCTGGGCCAGGGTGGTGCTGATGGAGGGTTGGTTTCACTTGGTCAGGAGAAGATCAGGGCCATGGAGGGCAGCAGGAAGGCTTCCGGCACCCCGTGAAGTGCTGAAAAGCAACTCTGGCCTCGCTGCCAGCTGTCCATGTTCTGTGGCCAGAGCACTGTCCCACCAAATGTCAGCAGATGCAATGTGATGGTTCAGTAACCAGCACAGGCTTTGAAGTGAGAGACCGTCTTCAGATCTAGGCTCAGGTCTATGGTCCTGGCAAGTCCCATGAGTCCTCAGCTTCCCTGCCTCAAAATTACATCCCTGATGGTGCACATGGTTTGCACTTGACTACAACCTAAGTTGGCAGTTTGAACCCAGACAGTAGTACTGCAGAAGAAAAGTCCCGGCAATCTGCTTCCATTAAAATGATAGCCAAGAAAGCCTATGGCGCAGTTCTGTGTCACACATGGGCTCACCAGGAGTCAGAGTTGACTCCATGAAAACTACCAATAACAAATTCAGTAACAGTGTCCCACACCACAGGTTTGTCATGAGGTTTAAATGGGATCAACTATGTAAAAGGCACAACAGCATGCTTGGTACAGAGTTATTAGGTGCCGGCGTGTTGATTCCAACTCATAGCAACCCCATCTGACAGAGCAGAACTGCTCCATAGGGTTTTCTAAGTTATAATCTTTACATGTGCTCTGGTGGCACAGAGGTTAAAACATTCAGCTGTTAACCAAAAGGCCGGTGGTTCAAATCCACCTGGTACTCTGTGGGACGGTAAAGGTTTACAGCCTTGGAAACCCTATGGGGCAGTTTATGAGCTAGAGTTGACTCAGCGATGGTGGGTAATCTTTATAGGACCAGATGCACAGGTCTTACTTTATAAATAATAAATTTTAGTCCTGCCAATGAACCTATGTGGTGGGTACTACTATCATACCCATTTCATACATTAGAGCTGCTGGGTGGGTTCAAATCACCAACCTTTCAGTTACTAGCCGAGTGCTTAACCATTGCACCACTAGGGCTCCTTAGCACAGAGCAGGTGCTTGAAGGATTTTAACCGCTCCCTTCCCTCCTCGTCCTCCTGCATTTATGCTGCACCTTGTAGTTTCCCAGAGGCAGTAGGGCAGAGTGGTTAAGGACTGGGCCCTGACACCAAGCTGCTTGGCTTTAAATCTTTCCTCTACTTGTTACTAGCTGTGTGACCTTTTTGTACCCCGTTTTTCTAATCTATGAAATGCGTATGATAACAATACCCACTTCATAGGTTCGTTGACAGGATTAAAATTTATTATTTATAAAGGCAGAGTCCCTGGGGGGTGCAAAGGGTTAATGAACTCACCTGTTAACCATAAGGTTGGTGGTTCAAGTGCACTCAGGGTGCCTCAAAGGAAGGCCTGGTGGTCTACTTCTGAAAAGTCTGCCACTGAAAACCTATTCTGACACACTTGGGGTCACCATGAGTTGGAGTGACTCCATGGCACCTGGTTTATTTATAAAGTACTTAATACTGTGTGCTTGGCCCACAGTAACTATGATATCAAACCTGTTGTCTTCAAGTGGATTCCAATTCATGGTGCCCCTATGTGTTACAGAGTAGAATTGTTCTCCATAAGTCTTCTTGGCTGTAATCTTTACAAAAGGAGCTCTGGTGGTGTGGTGGTTAAGGCATTTGGCTGCTAACCAAAAAGTCGATAGTTTGAACCCACCAGCTACTCTGCAGAAGAAAGATAAGGCAGTCTGCTTCTGTAAAGATTTACTGGAAACTCAGTGAGGGTGGCTATGACTTGGAATTGACTTGATGGCAATGAATTTATTTTGCAATCTTTATAGAAGTAGAATACCAGCTCCTTCTTCCATAGCACCACTGTGTGGGTTTGAAGCACCAACCCTTAGATTAGTAGTGAACTCAAGCCATTTATGCTACCTGGAGACCTTTTAGGAGCTCTGGTAGCACAGTGCCTAAGGCATTTGACTGCTAACCAGAAGGCTGAAGGTTCAAACCCACCAGCCACTCCTCGGAAGGAAGGTTGGGCAATCTACTTCTGTAGCGATATTGCCTCGGAAACCCAAGGAGGGGTCGCTATGAGTCATAACAACAACAACAGAGACCTTTTAACTACTATATATTATTGTTATTATCCTCTTTTAACTAAGAAACGCAGACGGGTGATGTGACTTCAAGATCACAGCAAGGATTAAAGAGAGAGCTGGTGGTTGCACCAGGAGCTTCTGGATCCCAGTTCCTGCTACACTAACCACCCAGTTCCCGCCAAAAAGATTGGGCTTCTTCAGGGCATGTACCCTAGAGCTTTTTAGGCAGGCACTCTGCCTCCTCCAGGGGAGGGAATTCAAAGGGAGGAGCAGACAGGAGCCTTTCCTCACCCCGCCCTCACTTCCATGGTCCCTGCTCCCCCAGAGAAGCAGGAGCCACACTCTCTCCCTATGACCTTGACTTACTCTGACTGTTACAAAAATGTTTTTGTCTGTCTGGTTAGCCTTCCTGGTGGCCACAGCACTGATGTGGAGGGAAGAAAGCACTGTCAAAGCTGACAGGTTTCCTTCATCCAAACTCCTCAAGGGCCTAGGGGTCTGGGTCTGAGGACTCAGGAAGAACTGCACTGCTGCTGCTGGGTCAGGGGGAAGAGGCCAAGGGGATGCCAACAGCTGACTGAGCAAGAAACAGAAACCAACCAACCCAGAATGCCTAATTAATGTTAACTTCAGATAGACAACAAATAATATTTCAGTATAAGTATATGGAGCCCTGGTGACACAATGGTAAAGCACTTAGCTGCTAACTGAAAGGTTGGGTGGTTTGAACCCACCCAGCTGCTCTGAGGTGGAAAGACCTGGCATCTGCTTTGATAAAGATTACAGCCTAGGAAACCCTATGGGGCAGTTCTACTCTGTCACACGGAGTTGCTAGGAGTCATAATGGACTTGACACCATCCAACAACAACAAACATATCCCATACACTGTTGTTGTTGTTCTTGTTGGGCACCATCAAGTCAGTTCCAACTCGTAGCAACCCTATGTATAATA